CCAGATTTGCTTCTCGACTCCAACAGTATTTTTAATGACTTTCCAGGAGCCTCACGATTCACTCAGCATTTTGGTGCCCAAGGCACCACTTGGAGGCAGACACGTTGCCACAATTAGCTCTGGCTTTGCAGTAGTAACCAAGGTCCACACTGGAACCACGACATTTTCTTCAGCACCAGATGAGCCCAAGAAAGGCTGGAACACTCCTGCTCCCCTGGAGTAAGTGGGAATAGCCAGTGGGTGAGGATATAGCCAGGCAGAGGGAAATGGGCAATTGCAGATTCTCCAGGGTTATGATTTAAGCACTTGCCACTTACATGAAAGGCTTAAAATCATGATATCGAAAGCAAACCCCAAACCAGAGCCAAATAAAATTAAAATATGCTTTTTCAGGTTTGCTGCTGTGAAGACCATATATCTGCTTGTGCAGAATTTGATACTTTTCATGATCACATGGTGCCATAAGCTTGGAGTTTATTCCACACATTGCTCACACTGATGGGAGCAGCAGCCCCAGCCCATAGCACAGAGGAGGGACCTTACCTGGGAGATCCGTGCTGGTTTCGCTGCACTGAACCAACTGCATTTACATGGACACACAGAGGCACAACTAGGCAATGTTTTTCAGTGACTTTGCAGAAGCCTGAATAATTACAGACAGTAAAGGACTTGAAAATTAATCACACGCGCTGCATCTCTGCTAGCTTAAGATCTCAGTGGACACCACACAAAGGGCCAGATCCTAAACCAAATTAAACGAAGAACCCAGTCCCTTCCTCAGACTGCAGCTCTCTCTTTACATGGAAGAGAATCAAGTCTTGAAGGCTTAGTGCTTCACCACAGCCAGAGCATCAGTGTCACCTGAAGAAATCAGCACAAAGTCTCCATCACATATTCCTGTGACAAAACCAAACCTCTGTCATTTACCCTGTGGCACAGAGCAGCCCAGACAATGTTTGTACCATTGTATATAAGCAAGCAGATAACAATGAAGTTTTATTTATTCAGTGTAACAGCCTTAGCCTGAACAAGTCCACGATCAACTGCACTAAGCCAGCCCACAAACAGCTTTCCATAGTAGCAGGATGATGAAAGACCCCCTGGATTCAGCTTAAGATTTCTCTTCTGGGAGAATCATTCCATTACAAACAGGGAGGCAAAGTAATACTAAGCTGATTTCTGCACCCCCTTTCCAAAGAAGAGCCAGACAAGTATGCACATGCCCTCTGGATATTCTCAGCCCCCAGAGATTCCAGCCTGGCTTGCTCTGGGCCACTCGGCCTGTGATAGCAGCCATGCACATTTGGCAGAGACATTTTTAGAAACTTCCAAGCTATGAATTCACCTTTCCATCTTGGTAAAGCCAGTTATGTGGAAAGCATTTCAAAAGCACAACTTTAGATACAAACTTAATTTCTCCTCAATTCTCACGGGAGGGGGAATAAATAATATTAGACTCTTCATTTATTCTCCCACAGTTATCCTGTAATATTTCTGTATTTCCAGACACAGTAATCAAAAATAAAATAATTATAAGTCAAATCAAATCAGTCTTTTCAGCACAGTTACACCCATGTTAAAACTATTTCCAATTTTTTTCTTCAGGTCTATGTTCTATTGCAAGTCACTAAAAAGTGACTTTCCTTGGAAACATACATCTAACTAAACACTTAGGAAGTGACCTTCATGCTGCAGATTTCAGGGATGTACTGGATACCTGGCAGGCACCTGCTCCTGTCCACAGGCTTTTCACCATGGCCATGTGGGAACTGAGACCAGGATTGTATCTGCATCCACAGCCCAGTAACCACGTGCTGGCAACACAGATAAATATCCAACAGCACCATCTGGCTCCTGATACATCCACGGTCAACTTCCAGACATTTTCCCTTTTTCCACCGGTGCTCAGAAAAAGCAAACTGCTCTCAGTGGAGTGGGTCAGACTCCACAGGCAGGACCTGATATAGACTCCACAAACCTGCAAGCTCTAAACCTCTGAATCCACTAAGGCATCAGAGCCACCTCATCCTCACCCCCAAGTGGCTCCAGCTGCACAGCCAAACACCCACAGTCCTTTAAATGGCTTCAGCCCCCTTTGCCTGGAGGACAAAACTAATGAACCACCACTCAGCTGATGAGTTCATTAACCCACAGCTGCTTGATTGCTGCCAGCTGCCTGTCTCAGCCCCTGAACTCCACAGCAAGATTTCAGCCCCTTTTTAAACTCAGAGTGATTCCTTACTCCCTCTTTTAAAGGAGTGTTATTCTTCAAAGGAAAAAGATTTTTACTGCAACTGTTCTGTGACAGTAAATTCCACCATCTGCTTGCAGCAACCACATCTGATACCTGCTGCCTTCTGGGGAGGGATGGCCCAGGGAGTAACAAGAGCAGTCCTGCTTGCTTTCACCTGTGTATGAATCCTCCAGCACAGTCCTGAACATTTCTCCAGAGCTCTCTTTCTTTCTTTCTTTCTTCCCAAACACTTGCTGCTTCTGCACTCCTGGAGTTTGTGGTCTCAGAAGGATTCCAACCCTTGGTTCCCAAGTCATGCCCAAGCCCAAAAGTGTAGAGGGAACAGAGGCCATTCCCTTCTCACTCTCCCTGATGGCTCTGCTGCACTTTTCAGGGCAGACTTGAAAGGTAAAGCACCTAAGAAAATGCTACTTTTTCAGAAAAACCAGTGTGATGCCATTTTTTACCCTTCCCAGCACAACCTCGGGCACACAGCAGCAAGACCCCAAGACACATCATCCTGTGTGCAAATATAAACCCTTCTGCAGACACAGAAAAACTGTACAGCAAAAACAAAAGGCACAACAACCTCTTCTTCCCCCAGTGCTGTTCCCGCTCACTTATTAAAAAAATAAGATATAAAGCCCTACCTTCAGGCCAGGAGCAAGGTCTGTAGGTGAGGAGCAAGGACGTTTGGGCACAGCCACCCCCAGCTGTGGGCTATTAGGGCTGATTGGGGATCTCACCGGGCCAGGAGGGTTCCAGGGCACTCCCACCAGCTCTGGCTCTGCTCCAGTCCCAGGTGTCTCTTGAGCAACCACTTGATTTGGTTCACCCCCCAGAGTAGAGGTGGTGCTTCACCAAACCACCCTTCTTACCCTGAAGAGGAAGTAACATTTATCTTGATGTCTCCACTGATTCTTTCCTTCCAGGCCCATCAGGAGCCTGCATGATTTCTGGCTGCCTGTGGAAGGAAATGATTCAAGTACTGCAGACCAAGCTGTTGCATCCAGGGCAGTGGAGAGTTATTTCTACTCTTCCCCTCTTCCAAAAGCTCTAGCTGTCAATATTTTTTCACTAATTCTCCTGTCTCTCAGGACTGTAAATTGAGCCAGTTTATATAGGTAGGTATGTTTACAAAAGGGCTGGATTATTTTTTTTAATTAAATCCGGATGCAACAGAAAGCAAATGTCATAAGCTTTTTTTTGCCTTCAGACTGTTCCAGCAGGTCAAGGTCTGAAAGGTTCTGTTTCAGTATCAAGATGACAACCGAGCAAAAACCAAGACACTCAGCAACAGATGTTTTCTTTTCCCCCAAACTCTACATTACAACCCCCACCCCAAAATACCACCCCTTTAAAAACAACCTTTACTGAAGTTCTCAGCATTGTGAGAAATCTGCTGCTTTTTTTTTTTAAGGCTGATCCATGTCCAGAGGCAGAGAGTGTTTGACCACAATACTTCAGAAGGATGAGACCGTTTTCAAGCTGACTGAACAAAATAAGGCCACACTGCTACATCTGGCCAAGGAGCAGCAAGTCCCTGTAAAGAGAATTTTACTGACTGCTCCAAAGTTGCATAAACCAGCACTGCACTGAGTGAATGAGTTACAATGACAAGATCATCAACTGGTCACCTCCTTTCTAAATGTCCCATTGAGAACTGACTACAGAGGTGACCAAGCCTCGAATTCCACACAGACTTACATACTGCAATTGGCTTGATGTCTTATTTATTAGGATAGATGTAGCATTCCCTTTTAAAAAAGTTACTTCTTATTACTAAATTAAGGCAGTATTTAACCATTTTGTGAGAATTTCCTAAACAGAATGTCAGCTTTACCAGCCAGCTCTGAAAAAGCAATGAAATATCAACTTTAAGAACATTGCAGTGCAGGTTTTGGTACCTCAAGATACTACCTGAAGTGTGGTGGTTGGCATTTATGTTGTTAATTCAAATAAACTCACATTACTAAAGCAAAAGAGATAGGGAAGGTAAAGATTTTACTGAGAAGAGATCACCTGTCTCAATAAAAACCCCAATTTTCAAATGTACAACTTGGCAGCATTTTGCAAATATAAAGCATTTAGTGAAATTTCATAATGAAAAGGAACAAAAAGGCTTCTGATTTCAACAGACTGGCAATGTAATTCTAAAATATATTGTGTGAGTTAACAGTAACAAATGGGGTTCCCATTTTTGCTTTGCCAGAGGAGCAGAGCCAGGCTGCACATGTGTTATGCTCCCAGGAAAAACAATCCATAAACAACCACTGCTGTTAAATAATATGAATTTTTACACTGGAAGGCTCTTTCAACACATCAGACTTTGTTTTTAAACAAAACTCTGTTTACAGGAATACAATAAATATTTATTAGTGGAATGTATGTGAATTTCTCTCTTCCATCCTTCCTCTTACTCTCAGCACCTTACACACAGATGCCAGAGCAGTTTCCAGTCCAAGCCAAGGACAAAAGTTAATTTTCAAGGCAAAAAACAACGAGAGGTTTGAAGCTCAGACTGGCACCTTTGAGTGACCAGTTCCTCAAGTGTTTGATTCCCCCAAATCTACCGGCAAATCAGCATTTCTTCTTTTCCACACCAGGATCCACCTCTTTCTTCCCAAATCCTGCTCCTTTAAGCTCTTCTGAGGCAGATCACAAGCTCCACGGGGACAGCACAAAGCCCTGCCTGCTCTAACACTCCTCCAGCTATTGCAGCATCCCTTTATTAGTTCATTTTAAAGCCCCACCATTATCGACCACCTTTTTCCGATTCTCTTTTTTTTTTTTTTTAATAGTTCAGCTTAGCGTTGGAATTTCACAAAAATGGAAAGAGTCTTTTCTTCAAGATATAGAGCACTGTGGCCAGGAACAGGGCGAGGGCCAGGAAGATGAGCAGCTTGTCTGTCAGCTCCCTGCGGTTGTACTTGGTGATGAGCTTCCGCCCCAGCTGAATCGTCCCAGACATGGACTTGAACTCCTCATTCGCTTCCAGGATGGTTCTTGAAGAATTGGCTGAAATTAAAAATAAAAAATAAAATCAGGCAGTTCAAGAATACAAGGCAAAGTATGTAAGGATGAGATGTTTGGCAATACAGAGAGTGCCCGAGAGATCCTGTGCTGGGTCAGACTCGCTCGTGGGTGAGACACACGTGGACTGTTCTCATGGAAGTTGTCACAACTCAGCAGTGCTAAAGAAGAAGACAAAGCAAAACAACAGCACTGAAAAGCTTCAAGACCTACTAAAGTTCCTGGATTTTTAGTTTTTAGGTTACCAGGTCAAATCTAGTTCGTGTTTTTCAGTCAGTGCTGAGACTTTGATGGATGCAGAGTGAAATAAGAATGGTGTAAAATAACCACCAACTGAAGAGAGAGAAATCACTGGCACAATCAGCAGCAGTTCTGGCAGCAGCAGGACAGGGCAATATTAATTGCACAACTGAAATTGTTCCCCCAAGCCAGAGCAGCAGAACAGTGTGATTTAGGTGGGTTTGCAGAAAGTGAGAAAGCAGCATGCAGCAGTAAGAGATTTTTAATAGGATGATAATGATCTTAATAGCCATTTTTTACAAACTTAATATTTTTTTGCCTAATAAAAATGAGAAGAGTCAACTAGAAAAAGTGTGTTGATTAGTCTCAACTTCTCTTTCCCTGTGAGAAAACAAACAAGCAAACAAATGCCCCGAACTCCTCAGCCTTCCTCCTTTCAAATTACTCAATGAAAGCAAAAGCCCTGGAATTTCCTTTTTCCTCCACTACAGAATGCACAGCCTACAGGGCAGTGAAAGGTGCACCACTCTACACTGCCCTGATTGCTTACAGAAAGGTCAAATCCAACATTTGTCTAGTTCACAGAAACAAGTAGAGTAGAAATAAAGTCTGCAGTATTTTACAAAACATTTTGTCCCATCACATCTCATTTCAAGACGCATTTTGATCCAAGTGAAAACAGAAAACTTGTTTCCCAGAGTTAATGACAAAGCAGAGCTTCCCTGCTCCACAGCCTCAAACACTCATTGCATCCTATGGAAGGACTTGCTCAGAAAAAAAGGAATTCTAACTGCTAACTCAGAATTTGCAGCTGGGTTTTGAAAATGACCTTTGATAGTTTTTCCTTTGATGAACTCCAAGTGCTGTTCAGTCTGACACAGGGTGAAAAAGTGTCAGCCAAGCTGTCTTTTTAACTGGAGAAGGAACATGCTGCTTCTGCAGGAACAAAATGTGCCCAGCTGCCACCCTCAGACAGGGCAGAAAGCAAGGAGGGCAAAATTGTGTTATTTATCCTCATCTTTAAACTGTTCTCCCTTCTGGCCAAAAGCACAGCTAGGAAGAGGCCCGGGCAGCACAGACTCAACTTCTAAATGCTTCATGAATCACCAGTTCTGACAGGTCACTTGATTTATTGGTTTAGGAGTCTAAGCCAAAGAACTGGGTGAAATCTTGGTTTCACAGTCCCTGATGCACTGCTGACAGAGCAAGTGACCTCGGGTTCAAGTCACTTGATCTCCTCGTCCCTCAGTCATCCCAGCTGGAGCCTGGGTGGAAACAGCCTTCCAGCCAGACTCTTTCCTTTGTGTATGGACTTGTACCCACGCTTTTATTTTCTCTGCCATTACCAAATCCGTGCCAGGACAGTGGCACAGAATAACATCAAACATGCTCTTGGCCCTGTGTGAGCTCACATTGCTTTTACAACTGCATTTATGTGAAACTAAAACAAAAGCTCCTTATCGTGACCCCTTTTCCTTTTCTTAATTATGAAACAGAAACTCCAACAAGCAGCTCCACACAAAGTACATTATTATTTCCTGTTTATGTCCAACTGCTACAGAAGTTCTGCTGGACAGTCCTTTAATTACCATCATACCACGTTCTCCTACAGCAAAGCAGTTTTCCACTCTGCTGCACATTTGCTGGTCTGCCTCTCCCTCTCCTGACAGAACTGGCAAAAGGTGCTTCCACCACCCAACCCATGCCCAAACTCCATCTGTACCTAAGGTCTGCACGGTCTCCTCGCTCTGCTGCACTTGCTGTGACATCATCCTACTGATGCTCATCAGACTCTCTGTGATGTTACTTGCACTCTCTGCCAGGCTCTCCTTCGTAGTCTTCCTGAAAAGGAAAGGGAAAAAGTAAGGCAGGAAGGGATAAAATTATTTCTTTGGGTACTTTGGGAAAATGCTGCTGCCAGGGAGCCTAGAACAAAGCTTGGCACCAAACATCTCTGCCAGTGTACAAAAGACAGAGTTTGTTTTCACTGCATAAGAAACTCAGATTATCTTCACGAAACAATAATTAAAAAAAATAATCACAAAATATTAAAGAATCATGGGCCTGTATTTCACTACTTACTCATCCAGGACTTAGAGCTGCTATGGAAGTACTCAAACAAACTACAGCTTTATTATCCTAGGTATCCCATTTGTTGCTTTCAATATACCACTTACATAGGCTTGGATCCAGGTCTGCACGAGAAAACAGCTTGGATAATGATCTACTACTTGTTTAGAATCTTGACTGGAATTAATGTAAAAGATAGTAAGAAAAACTATAAAGGCTAACTTACCCCCTTTTCTGCTTAGAGATGCCAGTGCCAAGAAAACCTGAAATTATCACAATCCTTAACAGTTCAAATCTCCACAAAAGGAAAATGCACTCATAAAAGAAAAGCCACGTTCCAGATATACTTAAGTAACTTTATGTCACTTCCATTTAAAACTAGTGAATACAGCAGACACTGCTTGATTCTCAGAGTACAGTGGGACAGTCTGATACCTTTGTCTTAAGGAGTCTCTTCCCTGTAGCAGCTGATCTTTCTCAGAGTTGTCAATAGCAATTTTGCAGGCCAGGTTTGCCTTCCTCCAAGCTGCCTGGTTGCTGAAATCACAAGAACAAAGTGCTGTAATGTGATGGGAACACTTTGCAAGCACAATTTTCACAAAGCAAACACTACTGTAACTGGGCACCCCTGATATGTGCACGGACCCTCAGAGAATCACAGAATCATTTAGGCTGGAAAAGATCTCTGACATCACTGATCCCCACCTTGTCAACCAGACCAGAGCACTGAGTCCAGTTGTTCCTTGAACATCTCCAAGGATGAGGACTCTACCGCCTCCCTGGGCAGCCCCTTCCAATGCTTGACAACCCTTTTCATGAAGAAATTCTTCCTGATGTCAAACCTGAACCTCCCCTGGCACAGTTTGTGGCCGTTTCCTCTTATCCTGTCCCTTGTTCCCTGGGAGCAGAGCCCGACCCTCATCTGGCTCCATCCTCTTGTCAGGGAGTTATAGACTGACAAGTTTCCCCCTGAGTCTCCTTTTCTCCAGGTTGAGCCCCCCCCAGCTCCCTCAGCTGCTCACTTTCTCAGTATTACAACACCGAGTAACAATATACTGCTCCAACATTCCTTCTCCTCAGTGTATCATTTACGGAGCAAGGGAAGAAGAAAACTGTGCCAGCTGCTGAATGACAGACTCTCAAGCCACCTACTTTGAGCTCAAGTGCTCAAAGAGACAGACTGGAGTTGGGGAGCCAGGACAGGAGTCTGGAAAGGAAGAGAGAGTTATATCCTTTCCAGCCCTGACCTCTTGGTATTCGGCAAAACATATCCTGTCAGCAACTGCATTTGCCAAACAGAATCTGAGAGATGCTTTATTCGAAGTCAGACTATCTCGGGGTACAGGGCGCTTGGGAACAGCACCAGCTGCCCGACCCACCTGAGCATTTGTTTCTTGTGGTTCTCCACCTCCCGCAGCAAGGCCTGTTTCTCCGACTCCTTGTCCTGCTCCTTCGCCATCTGCTCCAGCTCCTTCGGCAGACACCACAAACACCAAAACCCCATCAACCACCTGCAACTCGCACACCCCAACCCGGCCAGGGAGCGCATTCCGAGCAGACTGATCCGGTAGATCCCCAGCCCGGAGCCGGGACCCCTCAACCCGCAGCTGGGACCCCTCAACCCAAAACCAGGACCCCCCGACCCACGGCCGGACCCCCCTCAGCTCGCGGGCAGCCGCAGGCACGGGCCTAGACCACTGGTCCCTTAGCAGCCCCCCCAGCCGGGGTGACCCTCACCTGGATGCAGCCCCGCAGATGTCGGAACTTCTCCTTCACGGCGGCGTTGAGCTCTGTGAGGGCGCTGAGAGGCCCCGGGCAGTCCCGTATGTCCTGGAACACAACGGCGCGGTCAGCGCGGCTTTCCCCGGCTCCCCCCGCGGCCGCGCCGGGGCGATCCAGGGCAGGCGGGCGGGCAGTACCTGCACGGCCGCCTTGATCTCCAGGTCGAACTTGACGATCTCCTGGTGACAGACCCGCACCGGCACCGCCGCGGCGGCCGCCGCCATCTTGGAAGGGGAGGGCGGGGCGCGAGCAGAGCCGCGCGAGGGCGCCCCCTGCGGGCGGCGGGGGAGGCGCGTCCTGAGGGCGCCATGGCGGGCGGGGCTGAGGGTTCGCGGGGAAGGGGCGGATCAGCCGCTCCAGAGGGGATGTGGTGAATAACGGGCCGTGGTGAATAATAGAGTTGCACAGAATCACACACTGGGCTAGGTTGGAAGGGTGGGCCATCTGTTCCCACCTCCCTGCTCCAGCAGGGTCATCCCACAGCACGTGGTGCAGGGTTGTGTCCAAACGGTACTGGAATGTGCCCGGTGAGGGAGAGTCCACACCCTCTCTGGGCAATCTGTCACTTGCAAAGGAAAGTTCTTTCTCGTGTTCATGTGGAACTTCCTGGGCATCAGTTCCTGCCCGTTGCCTCCTGTCCCGTAGCTGGGCACCCCCGAGCAGAGCGTGGTCCATGCTCTGACCCCTCCCTGCAGACACTGACAGACATTGTTCAGGTCCCCTCTCGGTGTCTCCTCTCAGGGCTGAACAGCCCCAGCTCCCTCAGCCTTTCCTCGTCAGGGAGATGCTCCATCCCTTCATCATCTCCGCAGCCTCTGCTGGACCCACTCTGAGAGCTCCATGTCTCTCCTGTTCTCAGGAGCCCAGAACTGGACACAGCACTGCAGATAACACATACTGTGTTCCTGCAGCTGCTGGGGCATATTTTATAGTTCTTTGGGCAGTGAAATATCCCGCTGAGCGCTGTGGGAAGCACACAAAGGTGGTTCATTAGTGGCTGAGGGCAAACGGAGGGCCCTTGGACTCATGGTAAAAAAAGGTGCAAAGCAGCACCTCCCCTGATACGCTGGAAAACCAATGGTCACTCCAGGACTGCAGTGGGCTTGGAATCACAAAACCACAGAATCCTTTAGGTTGGAAAAGACCTCCAAGATCATGGACTCCAACATGTGATGGATTCCCACCTTGTCAACTAGGCAGGAGCACTGAGTACCATGTCCAGTCTTTCCTGGAGCACCTCCAGGGATGGGGACTCCACCACCTCCCTGGGCAGCCTCTTCCAATGCCTGACAGCCCTTTCAGTGAAGAAATTCTGAACCTCCCCTGGCACAGCTGGAGACCGTTTCCTCTCATCCTGTCCCTTGTTCCCTTGGAGTAGAGCCCGAACGCCACCTGGCCCCACACTCCTGTCAGGGAGTCGAAGAGAGAGAGTTCTCCCCTGAGAAGCTCCAGGTTTACACCCAATACCCTCCCGAGGTTTCTGGGTGGACAGATCCAGAGCGACATTGGCCATGAGCAACGGGGGGGAACACAAGGTCCCTTCTGTTCCTCCAAAATAAGAGGCAGGGCAATGGCCCTTTGCTTTTTCCACAAACTCCTCCCCTGGTGCTGTGTCCTCCCTCTCCTGCTCTCAGACCCTTTGGATAAAGGTGTTGGAGACCATTTTCACAGGGACTGCAGGAAGCCAGTTGGATGACCCATCCAGCTTCTCTTGCTGGACCACCACGCTGATCCAGCAGCCTCAAGAAGCAGCACTTGGCATGAGAAAGGAAAAACAAGTTCTTTTCTTCCCTCTCAACTTCCAAAAGAAAGTTCCTGAAAATACCAGAAGACCAATGGCACTTACTTCAAGAGAGCTGATTCCATTCGCTATCACTCCACACACACAATAATTCGAGACATTATTTCCTCCACAATTTTTATTTTAAATTACAAAGGATGTTGCATACATTGATGAATTTGTATCTGAATAGAAGTGCTAGGGATCAAGGGTGACAGAGTAAACAAAGTCAATAGTTTAATTGTGCCTCTTTTCAAAAAAATAAAACTGCACAACTATTAACCAACATTAAACATTGCAACTCTTAACAGATCATGCTTTGAACAAGGTAAATTTATTTTCTAACAGAGACAAGACTTTTAGTAAGTTTTTCTGAGCTCCAGTTGGAAGTTGATTATAGAATATCAAGGACAGCATTACAATCATGACCCCAAGCATAGGTGGAACAGAATGCCATGTTTCATTTAAAATGCCTTTTTTTTTTTGCATCTGCATGTGCCATCAGCCTTAAGAGTTCACCCAACCACAAATACTGAGCAATAAGTTTTCCTTGGACATAATATTCTTGGAGAATACACTATTCCAATCAGAATGTATGAATATTGATCATTATGAGAAAGATTAATAAAATTAAGTTTTACTACTAGATTCTCCTTCCCAATCAGATTTTGATAGGGTGGAACGTGCTTTTGCCCATACCAAATCCAATACTGAAGTTTTCCTTACAGGAGCTAGTTAAGTCACCCAAATTTGACTTACAAAGACAACCAACCACGAAATATTTTTAACTCCAGAAAAACTCTGAATAAAGATGTTATCTAAAAGGTTGGAGTTGTATTTCTTTTTTTTGGGGGGGGGGTGGTGGGTGGAAGGGGGAAGAAAAAACGTGGCTTAAAATACCTCTGGCTCCACAGCTCCTTAGAAAGATAGTAAATGCAGAGTCAGTATTTGCTCCCGTGGAAGTCCATGAATGTCTAAGAGGCTGAGGGTTATAATTCAGAATGCACACACACGACTTCTAAAAGCATTGGGGGGAAAAACATGGCGTATTGTGAAATGTAAATAGCAGAAAGATAGAGACATTTTTGTATGCTGCAAAGAAGATACAACCTAAAAAGTGCCATCTTTCATTAATGACATTTAAGAATCCCAATTTACACTGGGAGATATTCAAAAGTGGTGTTTTCTCAACATACTAATGCCCTTAATACAGTTACAAGAAGGATCAGTCACTGAGTAACTGTTTGAAATGTACTTCACACGTTCCCTGGGGTAAACAAAATAAACCTCAGCTGTGTGCAAGGCTGTGTCAATAAGCCAAGACCACATCTAGCAGCACACTTCACTAGGTGATTCCAACTGAAGCCTCCAACTTAAAAAGAAAATAAAATCATGATTAGGTGTACTCTTGAAACTCAGGTCTCAAGGCCAAATACAGATCCTGACATTCACGGTCCATAAACGGGTTGTGCCTCAACAGAATTTCAGGAAGACGAGCAAGCACGTTTGAGGAACAGAATTGCATTTGCTATTTCTGCTGAAGGCTACTTGTACACAACCCTTGGAAATTCTCCTGATAAAGCGTTTTAGAGCTTTTAAAAAAATAGCTATGTTTAAATGGTTTATGGAAAAGAAAAGCACATCCAGTCATTATAGTTTGTGAATAAGCTAACTGTTTTATTAATGAAGGCAAATATCAGATAAATACGGGGGGTCTTTTAAAAATAAAATTAAAACTGACACCACTGTATTTCAGAAGTGTCTGGTTGCTTTTAAGTTAGTTAAAAGACCTTTCATCCATTTTAGGTTGGTGTTTTGTTTGTTTGTTTTCTAAAAAACCAAACTTTTCCCTGGCCCTCTTAGAATGGAAAAAAGTCAATCTATAAATAATTAGGAACTGAACACAGCTGAGCCTGACTCTCACATCAGCTTTACAGCAATGCAACTTTATTAAATCACAATGATTTCAACTGGTATGATAAGAAAATCCAGCCCATCCACACGTAAACATAGCTTTAGTAGTAAGTCTCTCTCATCCAAAAAAAGAAAAGTACTCACCAAGTATCAGTAAATGTGTTCAATAAACCAGAAAAAGAAGCGTTAGCAAAAGGGGTTTCGGGCTAAAAAACACCCTTCATGAGCACCCCCACATTTTGCAAGGCCATTCAAAAACTGGTCTTCCATATAAATACAAAAGGACTAGTGAGAGAAACTGAAATCAGACCTATCCGCGCTCTCTTCAGTTCTGATTCCATTTCAGAGGGTTTGACGAGTTCAGAGGGAATGAAAAACATTTAGTTCTAGATGTACAAGTAAGGCACAATATAAAGCCACATCATCATCTGTCATGAAGGAAGTGGGGAAGGACGAGGGTCATACATGGTACAGCAGAACAAGCAGCCCATCGATTCCAAGTGTGGCACCTACGTTCAGACTGACGAGATCTCGACAAGAGCAGTTATGACAGCATGCTTTTAATATGGAAACAAATCCTAGAGAATCCAGTGTATCAGAAAAAGGAAGAGCTTTTGTTTGTATTAAATCAAAAAATATATCATTGTTTTTGGATATAGGATTAAAAGTGAATATTCACAATGCCTACACTCAAAAACAAACAAAAAAAACCCAGGACTTCGTTAAGATCCACATACCATGTATGAACACTGAAAATCTTTAGAAAATGGTCTTCTCTAAAGATCACCCAAAAAACGCATGCCACAATTGCCAAAAAACAGAACATGTACATTTGTTGGTTTTTATACCCTTAAAAGATTTTTGTTTGTGATAAGTATACACTAAATGTATATATTTTAATGACACTAGAGGAAGCAGATTGTTACTGGCATTAAAGTACAACCATTTCTAGACGGTTTAAATGCCACAGAGTCCCCTGGTTAAAATGTAAAGCTGCACAGCTTGCCTATGTCACCTTTATGATAAAGTTAAACCAGCAAAAGGTCTTATCTTTACTCTACATTTTACTGCCAGGTTTTATTTATCTCAAGTATCGCTGCAGCATTCTGACCAGCCCAGAGTTAGCAGCAAGTGGCAGGAATCATATAAAACGCAGTTTCTTTTTTTTTTTTTCCTCTTTTCTTTTTTTAAACAAAGTGCTTTTCTAAGATATACATACATATAAATAGTTACAAAATAAAGTGTCAACATTAAAAAGCTCAACTATTTCAAAGCTTTAACTTAAAATAATACATAGGAAACACTGAAATGCGAGGGTATGGAACTCACGAAAGATTCAAAGTCTGCTTTGAAATGCGAGACCAAAATCATCGTCTGGTTTTCAGACAAAAATAAAAAGCTATAAAGTTGTGTTTGCCCAGCATTTCTGAGCAGTAAAAAGGGGCTTTTTAATACCTTGTCAGTTTAATTTGTCACGGAAGTTTTTACCTGATTGCAAACTGCTCTCTGTTAATGTTTAGAAATGCTGCCTTGTCTGCAGGGTTTGGATGGAG